TATCATTTGAACAATGACAAATATTCTCATGAATATTAAACACAACAACCTGGAACCTCTCTCATACAATAATACAGTGTGTGTGTGTGTGTGTGTGTGTGTGTGTGTGTGTGTGTGTGTGTGTGTGTGTGTGTGTGTGTGTGTGTGTGTGTGTGTGTGTGTGTGTGTGTGTGTGTGTGTGAGAGAATGTGAATGTGGAGACACTGTGATGGATCGTTGGAGCTATGTGCAGCTCAAGGCATATATGCTCGAACGGGAGCTGCCTGGACGCTGCAATCATGTTGCGCGTACTATCCGTGCTGAGTGTGCTGACTTTTCGTACAATGTCCCACTGTCTGGCTACCTGCATAAAGTCAAGTGCTCGGCGCAGTTGTCGGCGACATGTCATTGAAACAGCTCCTTATATCCGTTAGCGCTAGCTAGCACCAGATGCTAACAACAACAACAACTACACGTAAGGTGTGCCTCGCTCGCGCGAGTCGCGCCACACATACACACACCCTCCCGGTCCTCCCGATGGCCAGTCCGGGCCTGCCGGTGAGCGTGGAAGTGTGGTCTGCCACAAGCGGGCGGCATCAGCGGGGCTGTCAGCATCAGCTTGTAGATGGTATTTTACACTCGATGCGCTCTGAAACTACGGCGGCCGAGGACAAAAAATACACATGCGTTAATCGCGTTAAAATAATTAGTGGCGTTAATTTTTTTTTGCGTTAACGCGTTAACTTGACAGCCCTAATTTTTATACTACGAATTGATAAAATAGCCTATGTAAAGGGGTAACCTAAAATGGTGAACAAGCAGATATAAATATGGCTCTGTTCTTGAGTGTTTCAGATCATCGTTTGGGTTTTATTGCCCACAGTTTTTTCTCTCTTTCCATTAATCAACTTTGTTCTAAACTACAGGCATCTGTTCTGCAAAGAAATCTATGATTAACCAACCGTACATTCAACACCAACAGACATAAGGCAATGTTAGCAACTAGCTGGTGATTGTAGTTCAGCTTTAAGCAACTGAAGAACCATATATACAGTGGTGCAGTGAACATGCATTTGTGTAGGCCAACCCGGATGGTAGCATCGCGAGGGCTCCCTCGACAAAAAGCTATGGGATTTTACCATTGTATTTTGTGTACAGTATTGTAGAAAATAAGCTCTGTGTTCAACAAAAATATATGTTGCATACTAAGTTGTGTTAAGCAGGATAATCTCCACATATTAACACCACTTTGTAATTGTTGAAGAGTAAATGCATTTGCCAGAAGTAAAAAGCTAACTTGAGGCCATTAACAAACTACATCACAGTTGCATGGATGTTGGCTTTTTTCACCATCGATAAGCTAAAGGCAGACTTGTGTAGACGTTTGGTAGTGTCCTTAAGTCACTTGTTAACAACCGCTGTTTTTACGACACATAGAAGGTAAACCCATTCACGAGTGCGGTATTATATGTGATGGAACAAAACTCTTGAGCTTGTTTGTTTAAATCATTTCGTTGTCTTTGAGTTACCTTGGCTGTTGGGGGAGGTTCTTTCCTGGGGCAGCAAAAGGTGTGGCTGAGGGCTGAGGACTCCTAAATACTGGAAACAGTTAATTGGACCATACCATGTGCTCTTATGTCAAGGGGGGATTTGGGTTTTTATGTTTGTATGTCTGTTAATCTTAATTTCACCTTGTTTGCTATCTGGTGTGGCCAAGCCAATATGTTTAGTTGCGGTTATATTTACAAGACGTATTTTCTTGTGAATTATGTTATAGACCTAGTTTTTAAGATTCTTGGTTTATAATCATTTTAAAATGTTTGGTTAAATTAAAAACCTGGTTTCTTTAAAAGGGACCCTTTACTGTAGTGTGTTATAAAGGTTTTTGTGTGTGTAAATGGTTAGCAAAATCTATTCCAAAGTTCCCCCCAGAGGTAATCCTTTGTTTACATCTGTAACATGTTACATGATGGGGCGGGACATCTCTTAGCAGTTGACCAATCACAACAGAGCCAGCCAGCTAACCAATCAGAGCATAATGGACTATTTTTAAAATAAAGCACTTTTCGAACATTAAAGCATTTAAACATGTCCAGAAGAGGCTCAAAAGACAAATATGAATCTGAATATGAGCATAGGGCCCCTTTAAACAACTCCTGTGTCCTTGTTGCCTACCTGCTTGGTCCCTGAAGGGCTATGAACAGTAGTTTATAGGAAATACAGGAGTGGATACATAATACAGAACAGTATATCTCAATATGTTCTTGTAGCCTTTTTCCAAATACATTTCAGATTACATTGTATAAAATACTATTTTTATTAAGGTTTGGAGCAGAAATATTTGTGATCAACACACAGAACCACTATTAGCTCCAAACAGTAAAACTACACAAATATGAATACCTAACAACACATTTGTAATTGTGATTTTAATTTGAACTTACTTGCTCTATGTTTGACTAGAAGATACGATTTATTTTTATTTCACACTTTACGCCTGGTGAGGCCTATACTGCACTGCAGAATACAAATGTTTACTTTCCAATTGATTGAGGAAAACTAAGGTTAGTTTATGTACTGAACAACTTTTGAAAAAAACTATCTGCAGCTCAGAGATTGACAAAAAAGTGAATAAGGAAACTGTTTTCGCCATGTGTCTGTTGAACTGAGCTCATAACATTTCTGTACGAATTTGCTGCCTCTCTATGCGTATAGAGTGGTCTTAAATAGAAACGAAACCGTTATAATAAGATTTATATCCAATTGAGCTGTAACAGGTCGCTTTGTCCACTTCAAATCAAACTAATCAGCAGGCAGAGATGGCAAAAGTAAACATCCTTAACCCTTAGATGCATAAGTGGGACTTTTTTGACCCGGTGAGGTGGTTTTCTTGAAGTATCTTTGTAATAAAAAAATTGTATAATTTCATATTCCAGCTATTCCTCAAAAAACATGTTTTGGATATCATGCCATTCAAATTTTAAATTTACATTTTATACATTTTAAGAAATTGTAGTTTTTTTATTACTACCCCAAGCTTCCATAAGTGGGTATTTTTTGACCCGGTGAGGTGGTTTTCTTGAAGTATCTTTGTAATTACATTTTATTATCATTTCATATTCCAGCTATTCCTCAAAAAAACATGTTTTTGGATATCATGCCATTCAAATTTTTAATTTATATTTTATACATTTTAAGAAATTGTAGTTTTTAGTTTTACTACCCCAATCTTCCATACTGTAAGTGGGTCAAAAATGACCCGCATGCATTTTCTATGGGAACCTTTGATTCTTATCACCTGTGGCTGTCAGGAATACATTCACTGTAGACCACACAGACTACATCACAAGTGACACCTCTCAGGAAAGATTATTTTACACAGCAAGATCTGATACCCGTCAGTATAATAATAATAATAATAATACATTATATTTTTATAGGGCTTTTCAAGGACTCAAAATCGCTTTACAATATAAGGGAAGGGTAGGGTGGGGGGTATAGGACTATCAAACTTGATCAACCAGCATGGATTGATGGGAGGTGGGCTATGAGTAGACAAGAGGAGAAGAGATGAGTTTTGAAAATGGACTGGAATACTGTGAGGGTCTCAGAATAGCGGAGATCTTGACATCAATATGTTCAAAACGTTTTTATTCAAAATGTAATTTTTTTTTATAAAATTATAAATAGTGAAAAATTAAATATAAAATATTTCTAGTGTGAACCAAAATATAATACTAAATATTATAAATGATTTTTCTTAACCAAAATGACAAAAATGGCATAAAAACACATATTATTCTAATACGGGTCCTTTTAGACCCACTTATGGAAGAGTGTAGGGTCCAGTCACTCGTGCATCTAAGGGTTAACTCAAGCAGAAGTACAGATACTCATGTTTAAAAATACTCTGGTACAAGTTTAAGTACTGACTAAAACTTAGTTACTCAAGTAAAAGTAAAGAAGTATGGGCTTCAAGATAACCCATAACTACCAACTGTTTTATAAAGCAACTGACCTCCCTTTATAATGATAAAACATTAAAGATATATCTTTGGTATAATAAGGCGCTGCAGTTGCTTCAGAGGATGATGGGAATAGACCGAATAGACTCAAGCCGAGTTCTCATTGGTCCCTCTTGTTTAGAGAAGACCAGGAAATGATGGATACACGAATCGTGTTCAAATCAATAGGCACGCAATGACTCTAAATAATAATGATCATGCCACCCAACTCGGATTAAAAACTAAAGTAAAGTACTGATACCAGAAAAATGTGCTTACGTACAGTAACAAAGTATTTGTACTCCAATACTTCCCAACTCTGTCAGCAGGCTTTGGGAGCAACGGATTACATGTAACTGGATAACGTAATAAGGATACACAAAAAGGTAACTGTTCTTACATTTACATGAAAATAGATGTTATCAGATTTTAAAAAATGGGAATTCTTAGCATATTACAATGTGACTAAAAAACAAAAAAAGAGCATACTGTGTTTGTCGCGAAAGGGTCAGATTCTATTTCTTCTTCGTAAGCTGTACTGTTCTGTAGGCTAATGCTTTAAGTGTGAATATATACTTCCTGAAATTGCTTTATGGTTTTCACTGTCTTTGGTTCATTTGTAAAAAAAATTATTTAGTATCAAATCAAATCAAATCAAGTTTTATTTATAAAGCACATTTAAAAGCGATTTCCGGTCGAGCCAAAGTGCTAGGGTCTGGGCCGACCTCACATGGAGGGGCAGAGTGTTCCAGAGCCTATAGGGCCAGCTGCTGCGAAGGCTCGGTGCCCTCTGGTTTTAAGCCTGGTCTTGGGCACTACCAGCAGCAGCTGGTCAGCAGACCTTAAAGCTCTGGCTGGGGTGTAGCGCTGGAGGAGTTCGGCTATATATGCCGGAGCCAGCCCACACTGAAAAAAGGTTTTCGAGCTGTACTCCATCCAATTTATAATTGTCCTTTCATTCAATTCAACATTATTTGTTTTATTTCTTCAACTAATAATTTGTTTATCAATATATTTTTTTAATGTAAATATTTTTCATTCAGAGCTCAACTAAGAAATATCCGTTTTGACGAATATACAATCTTAAGGTTACGCATAGGCCCGCACATGCGCATTAAACAGAAAGCTATAAGACAGGACCGTCTTCAAACAACCCAGGCCGCCCAGGAAGAGAGCCTCAACACGACCGATCTTTTCCTGCACCGGAGAGACAGAGAGCAACCATTACATTGTGGTAAGTGAAAACAACAATTTAATTATGCTGCTGTATTTCGTAGCATACTGTTATTTCCATGCTATATATTTTGCCATTTCTCTGCAAACGTACTTGGTAACATTATTTGATGTCGACGTTGGTAAATGTTAAACTTAGTTTAGTTTAACGTTACACTTGCTAACATTACGTGATGTCCACGTTGGTAAGTCTTAAACTTAGTTTAAAGTTACACTTGCTAACATTACGTGATGTCCACGTTGGTAAGTCTTAAACTTAGTTTAACTTTACACTTGGTAACAATACGTGATGTAGACGTTGGTAAATGTTACATAAATTAACTCATTTTATCCGTGACTTATTTTACAGCGGTAAAGTTAATTGGCTAGTTATTAGCTAGCTAGCAAGCAGCTAGCATACCACCATGTTATTAGCTAGCTAGCAAGCAGCTAGCATACCATGCGGGCCCGGTGGTTCTAATTCAACTTCAAGTTTTATTTTTGCATGCTATATATTTTGCCATTTCTCTGCAAACATACGTGGTCACATTAGATGTCGACGTTGGTAAATGTTAAACTTAGTTAAGTTTAACGTTACACTTGCTAACATTACGTGATGTCGTTGGTAAATGTTACATAAATTAACTCATTTTATCCGTGACTTTACAGCGGTACGTTAATTAGCCCGGCCCGCATGGTGGTATGCTATCTGCTTGCTTGCTAGCTAGCTAATAACTTGGTAGCAGTTGGTTCAAAGACTCCTGCATATAATGTAATTATCTTAATAAGATGCTGTGTGGTGTGATTTCCAATATAATAAATGCTGAAAAATAAGTGCACAGTATGTTTTATTAATTTAATTTAGTGATACACTTAGCAGTTACTCCTGAGTTTAATTTGTTTGGCACCCTGTAACAATCTGGGTTTCTCATTTTGCCCCCCAGGAAAAGTAATTGCCCACCCTGCTAATAATATTAACAACTAAGATGGGAGGTGAGAAGGGTCTGCTCTGATCTGAGCATCTCAAAATGATAAAGACAATGGCGCACCCAGCAATTTGTAATGTAATGTCAATTTGACAAACAAGATATGAAATTTCCAATCGAAAAACACTGCTAACCTTACTATAGGTGTGTACAATCGTAGATAAAAAATATAGCTAGATGACTTCATCCTAAACTAAGCCTTAAACAACTATATTGATTGCATTAAAGTTAAATCATATTCTGCCATTGATTTGAGCATTTCTATTGGTGATGTTTATGAAGACTATGAGTTAATCGCTCTTTTTTTCTCCCTCTTTCAGACTCCTCTCACTCTTATCTAGGATATTGGTTTCCTCGGGTGGAAACATCTATATCTTCAGCCACAACCCTCTCATTGCTGCTGTTACGGTTGGACATACAGTAGAAACTTTGTTGGGATTTTTGCTTTTTTGGGGATTTCATTTTTCAATGGTGGGGGGGGAGTTATTGGTTATTTGATGGATGTGGAGATGCAAGGACTGTGGCTATTCATGTACCAGAAGATCTGAACTGCTAAAACATTATAGACTAGATCATCAACATTATGGAAGGCACCGTTTTTATCCCTGCCTATATGAAAACTGCCCATTTTCATGTAAAACATGGAATGCACTACTGAAGCATCTTTGTACACAACACCCTTCTCAGCAATCCTCAAGAGCAGAGATCTCACATTTTAAGTGCCATCTTTGTGATGACAATCAACTTGCTACTGAAACAGACTTTTTTCACCACATGTATGTTGATTGTTCATATCAAACCAACATATATGGAAGTTTCCACACTCATAAATGGAGAAAACACAAAGTATGTACAGTTAGAGATTTAAAACCTGCACTCGAAGTTCAAGAGGTACACTAACTTTACTCATAGTATGTATGTATATGTGTGTGTAATCAAATGTACGTAAAGCTAAATCACATGCTTTTGCATATCATTTGTCTGTCTTTGATATATATATATATATCTATACTACCTATATTCCCTAGGTGAATGAAGAATTCCTCAGAGTAACCACAATACCCCTTGAAGCAAGGTTCATGCAGAAACTTGACGAGAAGTGCAGTGAACTAATTCAAGTCGTCACAAAGAAGGGTGGAGCTATCCGGGAGAAGACAAAGCTCCTGCCAATTGTGGAAACGGTATGTACAGATGTTTTTTACTTTACTGCTCACTTACATATATGCCTCAATAACAATAGATATATTTTTCAATACATAATCAATTATTTATAGCATTGGTCACTGATCCGACACAGCAACCTTTTAGCCGGAGGTTTCATAGACTTGGCACATTCATTCTTCATGTTCATGTTTTTCTACATATTTATAGGTGCAGACATCCATTTTGGCGTAATGGGAATTCTTGGCTGTTTTTTCATGGCCTTAATATGGTTGACACACTAATTGACTGATATTGTAATCATTATTTTATCGACTGATATGAAAAAGTGTCCAGCCCTAACTTCACGCCAAACTATGCTCTTTTTTCATGTCTCTACTGTCTAAATGCATCCTTACTCATTTATCACCCAAAGCTCATTTGCATTTATGACCATTCCCATGCATTCATTCCTACATACACTAGCTCTCAATCCCACATTAACAAACCGTGGCACACTCACACTGATTGAATGGACGAACTGAACAATTAACATTAATTATTGTGACTGTCTTCATGCAGGATACTGACACCACTACAAAGAGGGAGATTGCTCTCAAATGTCTCATCCTCAACATGGGAGAATCGGTGGAGGACCTGATCAAAAAATTCCTGGTAAGGCAAGATTACTGTTGAGATGTTAAAATTCTAGCTAAGGCTGTCCACTTTATATGATGTGTGTTACATTTTACATAACATTTTAGTTATTTAGCAGGTGCTCTTATCCCGAGTGACTAACAACAAGTGTAATAGGAGTACAAGTGAAATTCAAATGTCACCAAAACAGCGAGTAACCAATAGGCAGTCCTAGTAGTGTTTAAAGACGTGCTCAGGCAATAGCTACAGACAAGAGCCAAAGCAATGCATCACGATACAATTCCTTCTTACAGCCAATTATGGCCTTCCAGGACGTCCACGATATGTCTTAACAGTTATTCATCTGGGGGGAAACCCGAGCTATATTGATTTCAGATTCTTTTTTCCTAAATTATTTTCCAGGTGTCGGAGAAGGAAGAGGCTGGACAAATTCTTCAGCGGGAAACTATCGCAATCTTCGTCATCAGAGATGCACAAGCCGCAACCAAAGACATTGGCATCATACTTGAGGGACAAGAGGTTGTGAATAAGTTGGCGTCTGTTGCAAATGCTGTCGCCATTCTCCTGGGCTTCCTTTATGCTCTCAATCTGGAATATCCCAAGACATTAAAATTGACATTTGAATATATCCAGAAAGTCTTCATGGAGCTGGACACGAAAGGCATGGCCACCAAGGTCAAGAAGCTCTATGACCAGCTCTACAATAGAGCTTAGTTCAGGTTTCCTACACGTCCAGGTTTTCCAGTCATGGAAAATGATAACAAGTCACAGAAAACGTATGTGACTGTCCTGGAGAATGAAAAGGTTACACACCTGTGTGTAACTAGTTATGGTTCGTCATTCTGAAGTAGAACTGTTAGAAAATATAAAAACTGTCCTCGCAATTACCCTGTGGCACTGATGGGCTCTGCTCTGGCTGGTCGAGTACGCAACTGTTTTGCGTACGCATTTGATTTCAAAGGTCAATAATATGTTTGGCTGCCAGCTCTTCAAAGTTCCAAATCTGACCCTTGAGAACTAAGCTTACTGGCTAACTTAAGACTTGACTCACTTTTACACGATTTTTCAAAATGTGTAGAATGTCTTCATGTCTGGTCAGCTCAATGTTAACCTCACTTGAGGATTTTACATTTCAGCACGTTTGGGATTCCAAAGTTAATGTTATTGGAGTTGTACAATGTTAAGATAAATCAGGGTTAGGCTGTGATTTAAAGCATGCAAAACATAACTAATTTAAGGAAAAGGGCTTAAAAATACAGCTAAATTGTTTTACCCTTAAAGGTAATATTTATTAAAATGATAATTTAGGTATTTTTCTCACTGTAAACTGGTGGTCATATTTTTGCTTGCTTATATCACAGCATAAGTCTGAAAGATGTTTCATTTTCAAAAGGAACGGTCACTTTATAGTATGAACGTTTTTCATTTGTTTTCTTAAATGTTTTGATATGTGGGGCTGACAATCAGACCATTGAAACTTGACTGTTTTCTGGCAAGAATTATTTTTCATTTTTATGCCTTTAGGCATACAACCGAGGGGTGGTTTTTCTATGTATTATTTTAAATTGTTACATTTTATTTGAACAATGCAGATGCCCTGTAAATATGGTTGTTTTATAAGTAATAAACCCGTTATTAAATATCACAATGTGTAATGAGAATTATTGATGTAATCTATATTTTTTGGATTAGATTAAACATTCAGTTTATGTTCCTTAAATGAGAAAAATATAGTTTAACAAAATGTATACATTTTTGATTGGATAAAACAAATAATATTTAGTTAATTTTAACGAGAAAAAACTGTTTGATAAAATCTATATTTTTTTGTTTGGATTAAATATAGAATTTAAATTAATTGACTTCCTTCAACAAGACAAATATACTTTGTGCCAAGTCTTATATAATAGTTTCCATGGACATAAGAAATATTGTTTGAGGCAAGTTATTTATTTTTCATTGGCTCAAGCTATAGAGTATAGATGTGAACCATTACCCTAAATTTTTTTAATTGGTTGAACGAAATACTTTTACCAGTGCATTTAGTGCTTTAAAAACAAATAAAAGGATTTTAAAATCAATTCTGAACCGAACTGGAAGCCAGTGTAGTGAGGCCAGAATTGGGGTGATGTGGTCACGCTTTTTGTGGCCAGTCAGCAAACGTGCAGCTGCGTTTTGGACTAGCTGCAGGCGTTTAATTGAGGCCTGGTCCATACCCACATACAGAGCGTTGCAATAGTCCAGTCTTGAGGTTACAAAGGCGTTAATAACCCTTTCTAAGTCATTAAAAGATAAATACGACTTGGTTTTGGCCAATAGTCTTATTTTAAAAAAGCAGGATTTGACTACGGTGCTGACCTGCTTGTCGAATTTAAAAGTGCTAGTGAAGGTCACTCCAAGGTTCATGACCGAGGGGAGGATGTTTTTTTTGAGAGAGCCCAGAATATCAACCGGAGAGGCTGGAGGTTGGGGTCCAAAAAAGATGACCTCAGTCTTGCTCTCGTTGAGGTTGAGAACGTTTTTGCTCAGCCAGGATTTTATCTCTGCTAAGCAGTCCATCAGCTGCTGTAGTGAGTGTTTGACATTTGCTTTGAGAGGCAGATATATCTGTACATCGTCGGCGTAGCAGTGGAAGGGAATGTTATGTTTTGTGAGTATTGAACCTAGGGGCAGTATGTACTGTAGAAAAAGGATGGGGCCCAGAATCGAGCCTTGGGGAACCCCACAGGTAAGAGGGGCTTTGGCAGAGGAGAAGGCACCTAGCTGTACCGAGAAGCTACGGTCTGTCAGGTAGGACCTGAACCATGCAAGGGCAGAGCCTGTGATGCCAGCGGACTGTTCAAGCCGTGACAACAGGATGCTATGGTCCACAGTGTCAAAGGCAGCTGTCAGGTCTAACAGCACCAAGACAGCCGGACTACCTGAGTCGGCGGCTAGGAGCAGATCATTAAAAACTCTTAAAAGGGCTGTTTCAGTGCTGTGCATGGGTTTGAAGCCAGACTGAAACTTTTCATGGATTCCATGCATGGTTAAAAAAGACTGCAGCTGGGCGTAGACTACTCGCTCCAGGGCTTTTGATAATAGTAGTATACCTATATGTTCATTAAATTCAGGTTCAATTCAAATCTCTGGTTACTAGTCAATTTAACAGAATATATCTATAAAGTAACCTTCTCAATCCTGCACATCAGTGAAAATGATGCAACAACTCATCTTTGAATATCCAGCGTAGCAAATAGAGCTATTGTTCATGTTGTGTTTCTTATCCCAGAACACTTAACTCCCTCACATTGTGTCTCCCTTCTTCACTTATCACTTGATCAGCCTACCACTAATTGCTTGTTCTTTGCACTATCACATCTGGCAGCCTAATTACTTGTATTGCTTTAGTGCGAGTTATTTTTCTTCAAGAGGAGCACAGGTAATAAATCTACCCCTGAACAATGTTTTCTCTCTGGGACTAATTGTAGCAGCCTTGAATAGTTTTAGTGAAAGTTAATGAGTATGATGCAATGAGCTCAGACGTTTTTCAACATAATAAATGTAGTAGATTCAAAGCCTTCCACTTAGCTGCACACAGCGTGAGGGGCAGGCTGTATCGATTACTGCTTTAATTCTAAAAAGAGACTGACAGTTCCGGCAATGGCTGAGTCAGTGCCTTGTCGCTGTCACAGCGGTGCTTGCCACTGGCAGGTTTGTTCCTCTATCAGTGGATAAGGATATCCATCTTCACACCTCAGGGTCCACAGTAGGCAGACGCACTCCCAAACGGCCAACTTTGCTAAATCAAAGCAGGGCATTTCAGGTAACCATCCTCTCTGGATTCATTATTTAGCCATACTTTCTGGTGGCAGAGCAGGAAACTCTCGGGCCATGCTTTGAACTTTATCATAACTCTTTTTTTCCCCCTTGTGAATACTTTTGCAAGTTAGCAACTAAGGCTGTGGACGAAAAAAGAAAAAAAATCAGGTCCTATGTCTCATTGAGATGGGTAAAGGAAAGATGTTAAGGAGAATTAAATGGAATTTAAGAGAAGACAACTGTTCCTCAGAGTATCCAACTCTATATTTTTATAAAGAGTTTTAGAAATGTGGATAAGTGGGAAACATATATTACTTCATTACCAAGGTTTGAATTAGATAAAAAAATGTTTTTAATAAAACAATTTGAATTAAATAAAAAAGAACATTGCACAGTGGTGAATCCAGATGAATCCCAATTAGAATGATTGTATGAAACGTTTGAATTAGTTCTTAATGCACTGCACATACTATCATCAAACACGTCAAGTTTTTTAAATAAAGCTCAAGAAACACTCAAGCAATTTAGACTTTTATAAAAAGTCATTTTACAGTAGTAACCGTAACGTCCATACTTCACCTTTGGTTTAAAATAGTATTAATGTTCTAAACATTTGGGACGCCGTATAGCTAGAGCTGCTGGCCCATGGCATGGGGCTTTGGTTTGAATCTATTTGCCCAAAACTATCTTAAAAAAAGAAAAAAAGTTATAAACATTTCACTTATTTGGTAAATGATGGCATTAGTTGTAAAATGCTTAATAAGCACCATAACTTATGTGATCCACGTTTTGTAAAGGATGATCCAGTGTTTCCTGTGCTAAAGGACAAAATAAAGGAAGCATGGAAACTCCTATCCGATCATCTAGACAATTCAAAAAACGTTTATCATGGCTGCCACTTAGTTATGTCATTCCACTCTTTTAGGAACCTTCCTAAGCAAAAAAAGACTATTCGATTGCAACCCATGTCTGGAACTATGTCCTGCCAATATAGAGTGTATTCAATATGTTAATGTTCTGGAAGAAAATGTCATGACAGCTGACTGTGGTATCAGGAAATCCCTCAAGTATCCTTGAGCAAGTCACTGATGCCTTGATATGCTGAAGCAGAACTCAGATCGTTTAGAGCAAGTAGATAGAGAAGATCTCTGAGAGGATTGATGGCAAATATAATGTTAATGGACTTTAGCGACAGTAAATCAGTAAA